ATCTAGTACTTTCTAAGCATATTTTTAAGGAATAAGTAAACCATAAAAGAATTGCTACTCTTTATTTTACCTCTGCTTTAGAACAAAGATTAAACAAAGCAATCTCTAGAACTTATTTAGGAGCTTTCATCTAGGAGAAGTAACGAAAAGCGCGTGCCAACTAAAATAACTTAAAATGATGTTATCTTGCAAAATGTCTGTCGCAAAAATGACAAATGCTTAATTTTTTAAAAATTCTTTAACTTTTTATGCTGTGTTAGGTTTCATCCATGGGGGTTCTTCCATCGTTCTCTGGCTGCACAAACATCTGTGCCAAGATAAGAAAATAAGCAACAGAGGCTTGGGAATGGGTAGACATGGTGAAAAATCTGCTTTTGGTGCCAGTGCAGGTCTATGTCGGCATATGTGAACTATGACTCTCTTACCCGAATCCCAAAGAATGTTAAGCGTTGGGCAATCCCACATAGAAAGTAGATCTTTTGTTAAGATAGATCTGTAGATCTGTATCCTTCTGTTAGCCAAACTAAGAACTGATTGTTAGCAGCATTTTCAAAGCCTGTTGTTTGCTTCAGTTATCATGTGACCTTAAAGAGCTAAACTTCAAGGCAGGATGTTCATAAGGTTCATGCCCTGCAAACTGAGTGAGTGCTTAACCAGCTGAGGTGCCGGAAGGGTCACAACTTTTTCTGGGGACCAGAGGCAGGTGTTTTGTTAGGTCCTGTTTAGGTGAATGGATAAGCAGAGGCTGTGTCCAGAGGGCATATCAACCAGTCAAAGGAATTAACAGCAGAAAATCTAAAAGTCCGTAGACCTAACCAACCAGTTGTGATTCCAGCAGAGCAGTCAGGCAATTTTCCCATGCTCTAAGTAGAAGCCTGTTAGAGAGGAAGGAGGATTACTATTACTAGTTGGAATCACCCAATTTTTATATTTTGTGTCTTGTAAAATATCAATCCCTTTTCCTTTTCATTTTGTATATCAATTCAGCTGCTTGTATATAGCTTCACCTGCATTTGAAAAAAATAGCTTTGCATTAAAAGCTCCCACGTCATACAGATTTCAGGGTGATGACCAGGTCAATCTTTCCTATTTATTCCATGTGCTCTCAAGAGAAAAAAGAAAAAAAGAAGAAATAAAAAAAAAAAAAAGAAAAAAGCACCTAAGCACTGGAATATTTTACTGATCTGGTGCTTTGGTCCATCCTTTGATGTTCTAATGCTGTTGTATTGGTTCTACTGTTCCAGGGACCTTACAAACCCCTTAGTGTTAGAGAACATTGACAGTAAAATTTAAAGTCTTTGGACTTTTTTCAATCCTTATTTAAATTAGGATTTGATTCCTTTTTTAGTCAAGGAAGCAGAAGCCAAGCCAGGGAACTGGAAATACACTTTTGGATGAATTTTGATTTGGAAGCAGATCGAAGTGAGGCTTCGATGGTCTAAGAATGAACTCCAGTTGCTTGTTGAGGAGGGCTGTAGCTTCTGGGCCAATGTCTTACAGAAGACAAGCTTCTCTTAAATCATTACACATCTGTAATGAAAGGTCTTCTCTTTCTTTGTCTGGCCAAATGTAGCCATGGTATGGATTGATGGAAACCATAGTATGAGACCCAAGTTCTAGACGTCCATTTGGTAAATCTACACCTTAACATTACAGCCATCACTAAATCTGTGTAATCAATGCCCAGACTCCTATTTTTTTCATTGCTGATTTGAATTTCTCTGGCTTTAAGTTTCATGCTTTCAATTTTGTTATACCTTTGGATTTTATTATATTCTCACTAAATGGAAGAGCTATTTAGTACCCTGTGAAGGCACTTAAGCCCTGTAATTAATCTTTATATGATAGAATTAAGACAAAGAAATATTTTTCTCTCTTGCTGTTGGGTTTTTTCCAGGTCTTCATTGGTATTTGTCATTGCTCTTTTATGCAATTTGCCTGTGCATAGTGATTGTATGTTTACAGTTCAGTTTAAATCATTGTATTTAATGCATGGTTTTTTAGCATTCAGGTGTGTGTGTGTGCATGCATGTGTATATCATAATATCCTATCAGCTCAACATTTATCTGCAAAGCTAAGCAAAACTGAAGTTTCCTCTTGTTATTTCAGTCTGACATATCTTCCTCTCATTTTCTCCTCTCAGCATGGAAGACCTCTTTGCTTTATCCTCTGCTCTCAGAAACGCCATGGAAAATCTGGTCATGTGGTCTTAGAAAATAATGCTAATTACTGTGTTTAGATTTTCTTTTCCATCACCATGGTAAAAGGTCTTTTATTTGAGAGCCTACATCTGAGTTCTGGACCCAGTGGTGGTATATGAAATGTACTATGCTGAAGATGGCACATTGTTTTTTGACTCTAATGGAATGTACTTTTTCTATTTTTACAGAGTACCAAGCTGCCATTTTGCATTTAAAGAGGGAGCACAAAGAAGAAATTGAAACATTAAAGGTATACTTTTGTAATGATTTTTTTTCTTTCCCTGGATCTACTGCATTTTAACAGATTTAAGTAGTGCAAACATATACTTTCCATCAAATGTTAAGAATTTAATTGTTTCTAAAAGTTGTTTTCAGTTTACTGCCAACTCAGTTAAAATTAATCTAGTTAAAATCCATACGTAGACTCATATATGATGGCAAAAAGGAGGTTTACATGTTTCTTCTTTGTAGTTTTGCTTATTGTTTTACTCTTAAATTCTTCTCTCTAACTCACCAGTGCAGTACTTTTATATTTGCTTATTATATTAAGGCACTGGCATTTAACTACTCACTCTTTCTCAGTGAAACATACTTCTGTAGAAGCAGTTTTCTGTAATTTTAGACTGAAAAATAGGCATGGTAATTCCATTTGTGAAACTGTCTGAAATTTTGTATTGAACACTCTTTACTGATGTCTGGTTTTGTAAGTGTAAACTTGACCAACTGTCTAATTGTCAAAATCAGAAATAACAAAGTTTAATATTAGAAATCCCTTTCCCTTGGCATGATTTACTCTGCTAAGCAAAGTGAAATATTACAAGGAAGTGTTTTTATCATAAAAGCAGGAACTTAAATGGCAGTATAACACAGCTGCACTGTGTTCTAATACAGGTCTATATGCTAAATCCTTAGTGTACAAGTCATCAAGTACAAAACATTCGTATTTTCTTTGTCATCATTAAAGCAAATAGAATGGAAAAAAACCAAATTTGCTAACACAGGGAGTCTGATAATCCAGTATATTGATACATTGACCATGTCATTAGGCAGACCTCATATAGCAATCATCAGACTAGTACAAGTGCAGTATTTGTATTATACAGAGTATTTATGTCTTTGTGTCTGCACAAACGCCAGGACATAATGGACATAAAACCTATGAAGTTGAGAAAGCTCCATGAGGTCTTTGAGTAGACAGGGGTGGAATGGTGGTAGCAGCTTGTGGAGTGGACACGGCAGGCAAGGAGTCTCTGGTCTGTGCAGCAGCTCTTAAAATTCAGCACAGGGGAATGCAAGCTAGCACTGAAGTAAATACAACAGTAATGTACAATAAATTTTATTAATAATAACTCTTATGAAGGATAGCATAACTCTCCCCCACAAGAACAGTAGATGGATGCAAGGGGGATTTATTCATTTTGAGAGAGTATTTCAGAGAACGTGTAGTCTCGGTGGGAGAGCAAAATGTGTTTGTGCATCTCCAGCAACCCTGGAAACAGTAGAGGCAGAGGAGACAGGTACTGGCAGGCATCCATGAAAAATCACACATCTCTCCAGTTTCATCTTTCGTTAAAAGGATGTTAGTCTTGCACATTTTGTTTTCCATAAGAGTATGTTTATTTGCTGCTCATAACTTTGAATGATATAAACATTCTCTTTTAAATCAGATTACTATTTTTTATCTGGATTATTTGAGTTTTCCTCAAATATCATCATGGCTTAATGGTTAATTGTGTTTATATGTTATAATCTTGTTTAGTAGTAAGGAAATTCTGAGTGGGTTGTTTCCAGAAAAGTGAAATTGCAATGTAACTTTCAGCACCATAAAATCGCACCATTTTATATATGTATGTAAATTTAATTAGAAATGAGCTAAAATGCAAATATTTGCTGTCCATGATTAGTAGAAGACTTATGCACTCTTAGCAGCAATGTCCTACAGATCATGTTTTCCTATGCATTTGGTGATTATTGTCATGTTTGGTACTGTTTTATCTTACACTATGTAATTCCAAAGGGAAACCAGAAAAGGTGATATGAATGTTTTGTAGGCCTTTAGGTAATGGCCGTGAAGTGTAAGGTCTACATCACAATGATCAGAAAAATAATTGATTTAGAAAAATAATACTTACATTTATTGTATGCAAGACGTAATTCAAACAAGATTTTTGGATTTCCATTTTGGAGTTACTCGGAAGTTACTGGAGACCTTGCACAGAGTTCTGTTTCTAAGTTTGTAAGACTGATGATTCCTGAGATATAATGTGATTTTTCCTTTTACAATATCGAAGGACATAAAAACTTCCTATACCAAAGGCCAGTTGAAGCAAGTATCCTTTCTCCAGCAGTGACCAGGAGTGAGTGCTTAGATAACACATAAAAGAAATATAGAATGTAAGGATAATGCCTTCTTCCTGTATGGTGCTTTTTTGTTTTGAGTTGGGTTTTTTCGGCAATTCTGAGTGTCTTCACTGTCTCTTCCTTGTTGCTTCTACTACCACTGCCTCCATGCCCCTTCTTTAACAGTGTGCTGCTTGAATTTTGGACCTCAGCCCAGCCTGGTGTAAGGCATCAGGTTCATAAAAGATGCATAGTGACTAAATTACTGAGAAATGTTTCCCTAGTATACCATTTCCAGCAATTAGTGTTTTAAGGGTTTCCTGAAATAGAGTCTGCACACAGGTTATGGTATATAGTACTGATGAATAAATTATAGTATCACATGCTTCTGTGACTTCTGAATGCTATGCCATCTGAGTAGTGTTCCTGTTCTTTTTCTTTGTGTCCTTGACAATGAATTCCTTGTACTAGAATGTGACCCATCATAGATGCATCCTTTTTGTTTGTACAGTTGTTTTGGAGCTGTTTATTTCTCTGAAACATGTAGAATGCCATGTGAAAATTTCTAGATAGTGCCAGACTAATAATCTAAAAAACACTTAGGCTGAAAATATTGAATTCCCATATTCTTAATATGTCCTGTGTCCAAAGAAGGTCAACACTAAGTTATTAATTTTGTGAAGAGAATGTCAAATCAGCATGTTATTTTTTATAGTGGGTGAAATCTGAGAGTCAGATGCTGCTACATGGTCCTGCTGCTTTAGTAAATCATAAATTGTTAGTTCTGCTTCTAATTTTTGGTAGTTTTCTAAATGAAAGGGTGTCATTTCAGACATTTTTGTTTCCTTTTTTTATACCCTGTCTGCTTTAGGAAACAGGCTTTTTCTTTCTTCTGTGGCCCTGATGTTCAAACATTTTAAAGAACAAATTTTTTTTCTCTGCATGTCTATTGTTAACCTTTATTATTTTGTCTTTAATTTCAAAGGAATTTTTCCTGAGTTTTGTGATTAATTTAAAAACTATTGCTTTTCCCTGAAATCGCTTGTCTGTAATATTTAAATGTAACAGCAAAGAGACAGGATCTTTGTTCATTCTTTCAGTTACCAGCATTTGCACTGGTAAAAATGGAATACGTTAGAGAAGACCAGACATTGTCCGTATACTCTCTTTCTTGTGGCTTTTCATTATGTGAAGGAAGGGAAAGATATATTGTAAAATAAAAAAAAATACGAATTACTACATACTGCTGGACATATGGAACTTTACATTATAAAATTCCATATGGGAATGTATAGGGAAGTAAAATTGTGTTGTGATTTAATGTAATAACTTGTTGCATTTTATTCTTTAAGGGTATAACAGAAAAATATGGTGGTAGATATCCCAACTATTGGAAACGCTTGGGTTAAATGTGATTTCATACTATGCACTGAAGGAACCTACAGACAGAAATTCCTCTGAAACAGCTCTTTTGCAAACTGATCCAAATCCCATATCTTGCGTTTATGAAGAACATAGATCATCATACCTTCTCTGTAAAAGAGTAGGAGTGAGACCCTTATTCTTTGTTATTCCTAAAATGCCTAGAAAAATCTTAACGAGCCCTGGAAAGTATGAGTAGGGGAAAGTTCTCAAAAAATTGTTAAACTGTCTTCTGAAGGTGAAAGCAAGCAAAGTTATCCCGAATCTGTCCCTTGAAACCTGTATCTAGTGCCTTATGAGTGAGAGATCTGTTTACTCTTTAGCAATAGAAAGTGTCCTGTACTTCCGTACTGTTTCTTTTGGAAGTTATTTTTTTCCTTGACTGTGTGAATGAAATTCCTAATGGATTTTTATTCTTTAAGATTTGTTAATTGCTATGTTCATTTCCTATAAACTTCATATGGAATAGCCAGAGTACAGCCAGAGCTTTACCCATACTACCAGTTTGAAAGGGTTGGTGCTGATTCTGTAGACAGTTGAAGCTGCAGTGAATGTAGCAGTCTTGAAGGATGTAAAACAATCACTGGATAGGGAGGGTGAATGACAGTATTGTGTTTATTTTATGTTGTCATCTTTATGTTATCACAGTAACTTGAAGCTTTGTTGCTTTTTTTGATGTCACTTGAAATCAATTCTAGTTGTGTAGCATGCATATTAATTAAATTAAGATTACAACATTTATTGCACCAAGTCAATTAATTATTGATGAACCTGCACCATATCATATTGCATAACAATCAGAATAACTCATAATATCTCTTAATGGGTTCATTAATGTAACATAATTCAACTGAGTCATCCACATGAAGATAATATTTAGAAAGGGTAATATAGTAGAGATGGTACATACTTAGTTTTTACCCATTTACCTTTCACTACATTTACTAGTTGCTGTGTTCAAAGCATTTCTTGAATTTTTCACCTATTACTTACAAAAAATTGAATGCTGTATTTTTAAGACATTAAACTATTTCTGTTCTCCACTGTTGAATTTTTTACTTTTCTTGCCGCTAGATGTCAGCTAAGTCTTTCAGAAGAAGTTCCCAAAGCCTTCCTTCTAAACTGCAAGAGTACGTGTGGTGGTAACATCCTGCCCGCTATTTGTGGATCTGGCACAGTCTTAGTTTGAGGTCAGAAATTAGCTTGCATCTTATGAAACTAGAATCGAAGCTGCTCAATAGATAAGTAATAGCTGTCATCACCTTAATAGTATTTTTCCCTACTAGATGACAACGACTTAACATTAAGTCAAAATATTATAAGTGGAATACTGACTTATGAAAAGAAGGAATTATCTTGAAAACAATATTCTGATTGCAGTACTTAATCCAACACATAGCTGCACAAGGGTGCAGCATACTTTTAATTTTTTTTTCACTAAGTTCATTTCATAAAATGAGTAAAAAAGTTTTTTTCCTAATTTCTTCT